CCCACTTTTCTGAACTGGTCTACACCTCTGAAATATGGTGGGAAATTGGAAATGTGGGGACATTTTCTAAATAGTGACACACAGCAATTAAAAGCTGACAGAGTTTCTAACACTTTTCTGCTGTATCTGAAAAAAGGTTTTGAATGGCTTTAACTCATTTGTTCATTTATGTATTCATGTATTCCTTTCACCTTATCTACCTTCTGCCTTTTTCAGCTACATATGTTTTCTTATTTAAAAAATGTAGAATTATCACATAAGCTAAATTATGTGCCATAAACCTAGAGCAGCTATTTCTCTTCCCGTGATTTTTTGCTAATTCTTGTTGGAAAAGTGTAGAACCTCCTATAGAGAAAGCAGATTCATCAACAACTAAATTTAGCCCATCGCAAAACAGCTTACAACAAACAGCAGCAAGGTGCATGAAGCATCTGAAGTGTCTGGAACAAGACAGGGACAATGTATAAAATGAAAGTTCACTCTTTTCACTAAGGATTTCTTTCCCACAGAGTTTTCTTATAAAGCCCATCTCCAGAAGAAATTTTAAATAAATAGCCTTCCTCGCTGATAAAAAAATGGTTGTCATTCTCTACTCCATGCACCAGTGCTGCCCACTGTGACCTCATCTGTTCTGCACCACGTCGTCATTCAACCAACTTCCCATGAGCACACAGGAGCGCATCTAGGGATGTGTCATTGCATTACACTGACCTCAAAGAAGAATGCTACAAAGAATGATGCTAATTGTTAATGATGATGCTAATGATGTGCCATTCTCTGCAGCATATAGGACCACCCAATGTTGCCACAGGGAGAAAAGTAAGAGGATCCCAGGACATCATCTGATTGACCTAGGAAGCATCTAAAGGTATGTGTACAAAAATAAATGGAGGAGACCAGAAGGAATGGAAGCTCTGGGGGGGTTGGGGGAGCTGAATTGGGGTTTGGCTGGTAAACAACAAAACAGCAACTAGTCAATAATCATCAGCAACCACTGAAATATATTAAATCCTTATTAGAGCTATTACTTTAGCTTGTAACTTTCTGGCCCAAAGACGGGTAATCAGTACAATTAATGGGTCTCTGAGTCACTGGGAGTTCCTTTCTGTGAGGGAAGAGCTAACTGACTATAGAGAAAGAAAGCTAGGAGGATGGTTTGCTTCGATAAGTAGTGTGTGTGTGTATATACAGTATGTTAATATATTGGTCCAATAAATTTAACCCAAGAGCTAAAAAACATGCTTGATCAAAGTGTGCTCGATAATGATATGACGCACACTAGCAAATCCACCAAGGAATGGTTCAAAAAAGAAGAAGTAGTGGGTTATGGACTGCCCTAGTCAAACCAATGATTTGATTCCCATTAAAATTTTGTAACAAGCAAGCAAACCCATGGACATTTTGCAGCCAAAGGAATCTTGCATGGACAGCATTAATCAGTGCTTGATTAATTTCGAGCTAATAGCCCACCAATTCCCTACTGATCGCTCCAAGGTTGCGTACATGATATCATTCCTTTCTGGAGATGCTTTGGCTTGGGTTTCGCCAGTGTGGGAGCATCAAGTCCCTACCTATTTCCAATCTTTCTGCCTTCCAGCAAGCTTTCCATAAGACCTTTAAAGTGCCAAGGATGAACTAGTTGGCAGAACCATACCCTCCACACTGGAGGACTTAATCACCCTCTGAGGTCCGAGGAAGAAGCAGAAGCTTTGAAACACGTTACCGCCCACATCCACGGAATCACGTCTTCCCACTGACATCACTTCGAGTCCAATACCATCTTGTGCTCCACTCTGGTCCTAAAGTAACACTGCGCTTTTTAGGATTCACCAACTTCTATCGCCAATTTATTCCTGAATTTTCCTTCTTTAACCCAGAAGGGTGCTGATGCCAGAATTTGGCCTCCTGAGGCAGTCAAAGCTTTCCACAAACTCAAAACGGCCTTTCTCTCTGCATCTATTCTCATACATCTTTACATTCTCTAGCTCTTTTTCTTGGAGATAGATGCTTCATCCTTAGGAGTGGGGACCATTCTTCTCCAAATGCATGATGGTAAGCTTCATCCTTCTGCCTTCTTCTCTAAAAATTTTTTGGGATTTTGGAGGAAATTAAGCATCAGGGACTACGAATTTCTGGCAATTAAGCTGGCGCTGGGAGCATGGCAACATCATATCCTGATTTATACCACTCACAAGAACCTCAGGTATTTTCAGTCTACCTGATGTTTGTATCCCTGCCGAGTGCGATGGGCTCTCCTTTTTCCCAGGTTTAACTTTGACATTACCTTCTGGCCTGGTTCTAAAAAATGCCAGCTTTGATGCCTTGTCCAGGTCATTTGACTGCTGACTTTGAGTGTCATGTTGAACCAGAACCTATTATTCCTGCCAATCGTATCCTGGCCACCACCCATCTTTTGTATTAACGTATCCTGTCCATTCGCTCCAAGCTTCTCAAATGGGCACATGACTCTAAACTCTCGGTGTGCAACATACCTGTGCCTTCCTGCAGAGTTACTACTGGTAGCCCTCACTTTGAAAGGAGGTTGAAGATTATTTTCAGGCTTGCTCCATTTGTCTACTCCAGCAAGTCTCCTTTTACCTTTACCTATTACAGATGTACCCTGGCGTTGCATCTTTATGGACTTTATCTCAGAATTACCCCCCCCCCCCCTCAGCAAGCTCTAGAGTTATCTATGTGGTTGTGGACAAGTTTTCTAAAATGTATCACTTAACTCTTTCCAGGACTACCTGCTGTCACTTTGGCTTCAATCTCCATTAAGGAAATCTTTTGTCTTCTTGGTATGCCCTCACACATCATCTCTGATAGAGGAATTCAATTTACAGCTAATTTCTGGAAGGCTCTGGCCACATACTTTGGAAACAAGTTGGACTTCTCCTCAGCCTTTCATCCGCAGTCAGTTAGGCAAACGGAAAGGGACAACCAGATTATTGAACAGTATTTTCGTGCCCTCATTTCTGCCCATTAGGATGATTGGGTAGACCTTCTACCCTGAAAAGAGTTTGCCCTCAATAACCAAGCTAATGCCAGCCAGCACTAATATGTCTTCCTTTCTCCCTGTATCCTTTTCTGTTCCCATATCTTCTGAGGTGCCTAAGGCTGCAGAGATGCAACGATCCTTTAAGTTTATTCAGGCAAACGTTTCCAAGAATTTACATCTGGAAAATTCCAAGTAGAAAGTGTGTCAGGGCTCCGGGTATGACCAGAGGTGTGTGGACTGACACAGGGAAACGCAGGCTTCAGATATAGTATAAACAATATAATTTATTTAAGACTAAACAATACATAAATGCAGTGCAAGACTAAACATAAACACAGTGCAAAAAACCAAACCAAAACCCCCAACAGATAACAAAAGAACAATACTAAGCGTAGTTGGATGGGCCGAGTCAGGAACAATCAGGCAGACAAGGTATCAAAGGAGCAGACTGGAGAGTGGTCAGGAATAGCAGAGGTCAGGACAGGCGGAGTACAATCAGAGTCAGTGATCAAGCAGGATCAGACAGGAAGCCGACAGGATGCAGGTACAGGGGCTCTTGGGAAAACATACACCAAGGCCCTGATTGCAAGTCTGGCCATTCCTTATATGCACCTCCTGCAATCAGCCTCAGGTGTTTTGGCTGACTGCAGAAGTGAGCCTCTGGTTGCTGAGAGCACCTGCTGGCCAGTCCTGGTACAGCAAACCACAAGGCAGGTGAGTCCCACCACTATTGGGAGTCCATTCCTGACAAAGTGCCAGCAGATTGTGATTGCCGTGCAAGTCCCAAATTTCTCTCTGGTGACAAGGTCTGGCTCTCCACCAAGAATATCCGTCTTCAACTATCCTCTATGAAATTTGCTCCTCATTTCATTGGTCCTTTTACCATCCTCTACCAGGTTAATCCTGTTGCTTTCATGTTTTTCTCCCTAATGTTTTTCATGTGTCTCTCCTTGTTAATAGGTTTTCTCATCCTCTTCATCATCCTTCTCCAACTGTGAGTACCGCGGATCAGTATCAAATCAAGCACATTTGGGGAGGATTTTGTACCTAATTGACTGAAAGGGATATGGTCATGATGAAATGTGTTGATTTCCTTCTACTGATGTTTCTGTCCTCCGTTTGGTGAAATGTTTTCATCAGACGTTTCCTCCCAAGCCTGGCCCTAAATGAGGGGGGGTCTTTGCAAGGGGGAGGGGGATACTGTCACAGGTTAGCCTATAGCAGTGATGGCGAACCCGTGGCACGCGTGCCACAGCCGGCACGCCGAGCCTTATCTGTGGGCACGCCAGGAGAATACCGTATTTTTCGCTCCATAAGACACACTTTTTTTCCCCCAAAAAAGGGGGGAAAATGTCAATGCGTCTTATGGAGCGAATATAGAGCGGCCGGTCCGGTATTTCCACCGCCGCCATGTCAGAATACCGGGCCGGCCGCTCAGCTCTGCAGTGGGACCGTACCTGTCCCTCTATCCAGCGGCGCGCTGTCTTCCCGGCTTCTGTAGTGTGCGTGACAGCCGGGTCCCAAGTGCGCATGCGCAAGAAGCAGTCCTCTTTGTGAATGGTAAGGCGGTACCTGGGACACATGACAGATCCCAGAAGCCGCCGGACCAATCACAAAGCGCAGCGCTTCTCGCGCATGCGCACTGGGCATCCGGCTGTCCGACGAGCGCCCACACTACAGAAGCCGGGAAGACAGCGCGCGGCTGGATAAAGGAACAGGTAAGATAAAAAAAAAAACTCTGCGGAAGTAAGAGCGGGTACCTGTCAAATTCAAGTACCCGCTCCCCCTCCCTCCCCAAAGGTCAGCAGTCATCTGTACTGTCCGCAGTCTCTGGTCATCCCTGTGCTTTCCGCAGTCTCTGGTCATCTCCTGTACTGTCCGCAGTCTCTGGTCATCCCTGTACTGTCCGCAGTCTCTGGTCATCCCTGTACTGTGTCCGCAGTCTCTGGTCATCCCTGTACTGTCCGCAGTCTCTGGTCATCCCCTGTACTGTGTCTGCAGTCTCTGGTCATCTCCTGTACTGTGTCCGCAGTCTCTGGTCATCTCCTGTACTGTGTCCGCAGTCTCTGGTCATCCCTGTACTGTGTCCGCAGTCTCTGGTCATCCCTGTACTGTGTCCGCAGTCTCTGGTCATCCCTGTACTGTATCTGCAGTCTCTGGTCATCCCTGTACTGTGTCCGCAGTCTCTGGTCATCCCTGTACTGTGTCTGCAGTCTCTGGTCATCCCTGTACTGTGTCTGCAGTCTCTGGTCATCCCCTGTACTATGTCTGCAGTCTCTGGTCATCCCTTGTACTGTGTCTGCAGTCTCTGGTCATCCCTGTACCATGTCCGCAGTCTCTGGTCATCTCCTGTACTATGTCCGCAGTCTCTGGTCATCTCCTGTACTGTGTCTGCAGTCTCTGGTCATCCCTGTACTGTGTCCGCAGTCTCTGGTCATCCCTGTACTGTGTCCGCAGTCTCTGGTCATCCCTGTACTGTGTCTGCAGTCTCTGGTCATCCCCTGTACTGTGTCTGCAGTCTCTGGTCATCCCTGTACTGTGTCCGCAGTCTCTGGTCATCCCTGTACTGTCCGCAGTCTCTGGTCATCCCTGTACTGTTAATTAGTTTGCACTACTGTACGAGTTGTTTTTTCTAAACCAAAAGCTCGATATTCAGGTTTCATTGCAGTGTTGGCACTTTGAAAGAAATAAGTTGGTTTTGGGTTGCAGTTTGGGCACTCGGGCTCAAAAAGGTTCGCCATCACTGGCCTATAGGTTTCCTGCCTGTGTATTCTTACCTCCTTGCTGCAATGTTTCTGCTAGTCCTTCACATGTGTTGTTTGGCTCTCTGCTCAATAGGTATTGCCTGCTATTCTGTGGGTTTATATTTCCTTTCCCTTCTATCACTTTCTGGCCTGTCTCCAAGTTTGCTTCCCTTTATATTGACAGGCTCAGTCCAGTTCGCCTTGCTTGATAAACGTCACAGTTCTCTGAGCTCCCATTTGCTTACTACTCGTGTATCCTGTGTCTGACCACCTGTGTACCAATGCCGCCTTAGTCTACCATTTGTGCTTGTCCATTGCCCATCCTGACCTCAGCTTGTCTCCTGGATTTCATGTTTTCTTCTGCTGTTTGTACTCTGCACACGTGAGTGGTCCTAACATCCTCATCTGGCCGTACTTGGGGGCCACAGCCTGGTTCCAGCTTGCTGCAAGGCCATCCCCACCATAAGGGGCCCTGGTAAAGAATCAGGCTGGAGCTTAGACTCTGTGCCCTGGGGAACCCCAGGTTGGCAATGTACAAGGGCTCACTACCATAGACGCTTGACACCAAAGACTTCAGTGCTACCTCAGTCATCAGTGATCTGGAACAACTTTGCAGATTAGGAGTTTGGACCTCACTCTGATATTCATGATCTGAATTCTTGTTCTAGGTCAGCATCTTGGAAAGCCAACATCTACACTGCATCCAGGTAACTTGCACTTTTAAAAGGAGGTCAACAATGGCAGCCCCATATTTAATTACAGGTTTTCTGAATTAAATTTCAATCACGTTCTCAATGCCTATCTACAACTCTCTAAATTTAATATAGCATCAAATATATGCAAGACAAAACATTTTAACCACTTGCCATCCGCCTGCTGTTTATAAACGGCAGGATGGTGGCACTCCAGGGGCGGGTTGTCGTTCATAAACGGCACCCGCCATTTCTAGCTGTGCGCGCTCCCTGGGAGCACGCAGCACCGCAATCCGGTGCCGCTGTGTCCTCCGGACACAGTGAAACACCGATCGTCGGACGAGACCTCTGTACGAGGTCCCGATCATGTGATCACTGATTGGCCAATCAGTGATCAGATGCAAAGTAGTAAGCAAGATGTCACTTGTGACATCATTGCTTACTGCGTGTGAAATCTGTGAATGATCACAGAGGTCACACAGTACAGGGCTATTCACAACAGCCTTGTACCATGTAACAAGCTGTGACCAATCACAGCTCACTCAGTAGTTCTCAATGGCTGCAAGAATGCAGACAGAGAGAAAGAGAAATTATTGCTTTTACATCCTATATGGGTGTAAAAGCAATCACTGTAAAAAAAAAAATCTTCATCACCCCCCACCAGTAGTACAGTGTCACTATGGTGACACTGTACTGCTAGGGTGACAGTATGTAAAAAAAAAAAAAAAACATAAATAATAATATAAAAAAAAATAAAAATGTAAAAAAAAGTTTAAAAATTATAATTTTTTGGTTATAAACTAATTTGGCTTTTTTTTTTACTAAAAAGATAACGGAATAAATTTTGGACAAGATTTATGATGAAAGATTATTTATTTGCAAAATTTTATAAGAAGAACACTTTTTTTCAAAATTTTTGGACTTTTTCATTTACATAGCAAAAAAAATAAAAATCCCAGCGGTGAATAAATACCACCAAAATAAAGCTTTATCTGTCTCAAAAAATGGTAAAAAATTCATATGGGTACAGTGTTGCATGACCGCGCAATTGTCATTCAACGTGTGATAGCGCTGAAAGCTGAAAATTGCCCTGGACAGGAAGGGGGTAAAAGTGTCCGGACAGGAAGTGGTTAAAGGATGAGTTCACCTTTCATAATATGTTACATGTTACACCTATATTCAGGGTGTTACATGTAACATGTTATGAATGCACCAGCCCCCACTCCCCCCCTTTCCCCAGCTTTGACAGCTAGCAGGGAATCTTCTCTCCCCCCACTAGCTGTCAATTTTTTGTAAAAAGTGGCCATGCGGGGCTCCGCCCATGTCTCAGTCCTCTGTAAATGAGAAAATATAAGTCCCGACAGCCTTAGCGGCTGGCGGCTTGTAGCTCTCAATGAAATACCACGGCGCTGTGGAGTGCCGTGGTAGTTCATTGGTTCTTTATTCAGTATATCTGCTTGCTCATGCATTCCGTACGGGCAAGCAGATATACTGACAGATCTACAGGAGACCTGCATGGCACCAGTGATCTGCTTATCACTGCTGCAATGGTTTCCAGGCTCCTGCAACCAAAAATAATAAATGCACACTTTTCTACCTACAAAAAAATGTGCATTTATCTTTTTTGGTAAAAAGGTGAACTTATCCATTAAATAGAAAGGTCATGTAAAAAAATACTTCAAGGTAAACAATGCAGTAATAACTCAAAATGTACTGGCTAGAAAAGTGCTATACTCACCCTTTAAAGTTTAATCTAGTTATACATTCAGAGTAACTTCAGACGTCTCTTTCCTTTAAAATAACCTCTTAGCAAACTTGAAGAGTGTAGAAATCTGTTTGTACGATTGTCGTGAATTCAAACTTGGCATTTACTTTAACATTTATTTAAGTTTCAGCATTTCCTGCCATCATCACGTTTTATACAAACTTATGACAATCCTGTAACGTAAAGGTCACGTCGGCTGAATGTTCCTGTAGAAAAACTCCTGAACATCTCCAAGGCGCATGTTGCACTGTGACCTGCCACAGCACATCAGCCATGTGAGGACTATCAAGAGTGATGTTACAGTGCAATTTGAACAAATGGTGCAACAGATTTTGCCCAGGGTTCCATAATGGCACTGCTCTGAGGGTTTAGCTTTACTGGAAGGTATTTTAATATTGCATATTACAATAAAGCTGCTCTAATATGTTGTATGTAATCCAAATAATAATGTTTATTTGGATTGTTAACTCTGATAACTTAACCTTTCCTTTGCAGTAAAACTATGAAAACTGCAGCACTGTGAACTTAGATATTGAGGCATGCTTAGCATCTATTTCTTTATCTGTAATGATCAGAAAAAATGGAATAACATTTTCTTCAAAAGACCCCCCTTTCAAACTACTTAATCACGGAAGGAGGTCACATGTTCCCCCATATCTGAAAGCACCAGAAGGGGAAACGTGACATTATTTCTTAAAGAAAAATGTATTTGTATGCAAGCAAGTATGAAATATTAGTTTTAGGCTTCTTTTTGCATTTCCAATGCCCTTAAGTTCAGATGAAAAAACAGGGGGCATATGAAGTCTGAATTACCTCCCAGTACACAGCACGCTGGACATAAGAGCATATAGAGCAGTCACCCTAGGTTCCTCCGATCTATGGGATGCATTCACAGTATACAGGTCACAGTCATCCCATCCCTATGTGTGATCATTGATGGATCAGATCAAATGTTCCCTGCCAGGAAATCTGTATCATCCTTCCTAGTGCTCCCACAGACAAAGGAATTTGGGGTAAGATACAAAAAAAGTCCCGAGCACATATATATCAAAACGTGCTATATACCAATAACACAAACAGATATTATAATCAATAAATGAAAGTCCCACATCATCTAGCATACAAAAATATTCTCCTGGTGCTTCAAAGAAATCTTCATGAAACTTCTATGTGCTCCACCACCTTGTGCCACTATTAATGCGCTCACTGACCATCCATGACCCATTTATTAAAAGATGGTCATATGCGCTTTTTTGTCCAGGGCTTTAAATCCCGGTGGGTTTCTCCTCTGTATTTCCAGATATCATCCCAATATGACCATATCCCTCAGCAGCGAATCATAATATAACAAAGGAAATGAATTCATAGTGTAGTAGTTTTATTAAACTTAGGCAATATAAAAACAGGTATTCACTCACATGATCCAGTGCCCAATATCTCGGCATTAATACAATCAGCTGTAATGTGTCACTGCCGCTCCGCTCCGTAGAACTGGCATGTGTTCCAATTGCTGGAACCAGAAGTGACGTCAATCAATAGACCTGGAAGTGATAGATGTTTCACTCTGCTGAAACATGACACATCTGTCACTTCCGGGTTTATTGATTGACATCACTTCCGGTTCCAGCGATTGAAACACACGCTGGCTCTAGAGTGATTACTGGAGAAATGAGTAAATGAGCCTATGTGCTTGGCTGCTGGGCAAAGTATTTGGGGAGGACAGTAATCCAGCATCTCCTACAGGAGTAGCGCTACATGTGTTAAATATTTTTTGGAGAACAAAGATTGTATTTATATAGTCTATATATATAATTATATATATATATAATTCACATTCCTTTAAAACATTTTTAGGTAGGGCACTACTGCGAAAGCATCTGCTAATGCCTGGTGCACAATCTCTAAATCGGAAGATCCTATGATTGGGTTTTTTTCTGTGGGACCTGGACTGAATTCAGTCTTAGGTGCTGTTCTCTAGCTGTGTTATCAGACAAATGTAGCTAATAGTAGAGGTGAGTTGAACACATCTGGGTTCAATTCTAGGCAGGCTTGGTGAACATTAATGAAGTTTGTATGCCAAATTTGAACCCCAATGGGAGCCGAACGTTAAAAATCAGTTCAAAAGATGGTCAAACAAATGGTATGTTTCAAAGCAAGCAATTTTATTAATGCTTAAAGTGAAACATTAAAAATGCAAAATTTATTTAAAAAACCTGCCCGGGATAAGGCTCCTCACGCTGGTCCCTCTCTGGTGACTGGCAAAAAACGCTGTTTGAGAGCTACTTTTTATAGGGA